TGTATGTGTGTGTGTAAACATTACATTTTCATAAATATCTCAAAATCATGAAGAGCTTTTGAGTTGAATTTTTTTTAAAATTGTAGATCTCATCTGTGGACATAAAATGAGAGTACTTTCTGATATATTAATAAAGTTTAACTAAATTTTTTTTTTATTTTTAATTTTGCAAAAAAACATTTTTTGCCCATAACTTTAAAAAATGTTAGGACACCTATAAATGTTTTTCCATAATTTTGTAGAGTTTTTTTAGACGCATCTTTTGAGCCCTAATTGAACATTTTTCGTCCATATTGACAGGAGATATTAATCTTTTAAAAATAAAAAATTTTGAAAAATAAGTATTTTTTGAAGATTTTGTTGAAAAATGTAGAAGTAACTTTAAAATTATCGTAGAGCATTAAAATACGCTTCGATTGACTTATTTTGTTACGATCGACAACTAGAAAAATGCGAGAGAACAGAGAAACGGAAAATAGTTCGGGAAATGAAACAGATTTTGAGGAAACAGACACAGCGAGCGGGACTATTCTTTCCCCCCACAGACAAAATTCCTCCCTGTAAGACAATGCGAAATCAAATGATTTAGAAGCCACGATAGAGAGACACGAGGCAATGATTCGTGCTCTCGTTGAACTCGTGCCCCCCGAAAAATTGAAATTTTTTAATTTCAACTAATTTATGACCCTCCCAAGCGGAACTAGAGAACGAGCAGCAACAAGGAACGTATTCTTGCCAGGATTAAGGGCAAGAGATACGAAGGATGCGAGCGTGCAGTTGATGCATTTGGAAAACAGTAACCAAGGGTTACTAAATGCAGGCCCAAAAGCTGTACCAATAAAACGCGGTATATTGCAACAGTACTTAGACGGAATAAAGAAAACTGTTGGAAATGTAGGAAAAGTACCGGAAAATGTCACGGAAAATTTTGTAGGAAAATTACCGAGAAATGTGACAAAAAATTTTGCGGTGAAATCAAAAGACGGAACTTTTGATGTAAATTCGTTTCTAGGAACAAATAGTCAGATGTTGAAAAGTAGAAACGAATTAAGAGATTTGCGCGAAAAGAGAAAATTTTTTGAACTCGAACGCAGAAGAATAGTAGAGGAAAAATACAAAACTTCTACACATAGTTCAATAAACAGGAATACTAGAAATAGTAGCGAATCAGGTGAAAATTTTCGAATGCGTTTGGATTATCTTGGACAAGATAAACGCGAAAATATGAGAAAACGACAGAATTTTCATTTTAAGGAAAATGCTCGGAAATATCAGGAATTTAATTACGAATGTCCCAAAGATAGTGAAATAGAGGTAGTAGACGAACCCAAAATTTCGAAAAAATCTGATTTTCAGCCCAAAAAATTAGAGAATATTTTTCGCAAAGAAAATGCGCAAACAATTCAAAATTTTTCAGGACGTAAAAATTATTGCATTGGAAATAAGAATATTGCTGTTCATGGCGACGCTCAGGAACAATATTCAGACTCAGATAAATTCAAAAATGAGATTACGTTAAGATACAAAGAATTAGAACAACTCAAATTAAAATTGGACCGAATGAGAAGCGTTATAGAAAATTTAGCGAAAAATATAAATTCAAAAATACAAGAAAATTTCACAAAAAATACTGAAGTCGAAAATTCAAATGCCCAAGCCGATAATAATCGCCATTTTGGAAATTCAATCAACCCCTTTCCTTTTGGCATGATTCAAAACCCGTTTCAAATAATGTCAAATTGGCCTTTTAAATTCCACAATAATAAAATTGATAACCCCATTCAATTCTTAGAAGAACTATTTAGATTCAAGCGAGGTTATGAAATATCGAATAATCACGTACAGTTAGAAATAATTGGTTTTCTTTAGAAGATTTTCGGCAAGAATTTGAAAAAACTTTCTTAGACGAGAAGTTTTATGAAGAAAACACGAAAATAAAATATTGCAATCAAGAAGATGGAGAAGAGATTCAAACTTTTTGATTGTAATAAGAAAATTGTTTGGAAAATTACACTCGTGAAAAGGTTTACAATGGGAACTACGTCGCACGTACGAAAATTTTCGGATTGAATACAAAACGTACATTTAAAGAAATGATTTAAAAACCTTCGAGGAATTAGAAAGCCTAGGAAAAGCATTCGAAATCGAGAAAAATAAATCGAAAATTCGCGGTCAAACTTTAAAAATTACAACTAATGAAAAAGAAAACTCGTCAAGTGATGAATCTAAACAAATGTCAGACCAGGGAAATAATGAAAATTTTAGAAAATTTGGTGGAAACTCGAGATTCCAATCAAAGTTTTCAGGAAATAATTTTTTAAAGAAACTGGTCATATGACCAACCAAAAATAACTTTTCTACCTGACACAGCTACAGACGGTAGTAGAGGTCAGAACATGATAGAAAATTATTCTGATGATAACAATAATACAGATAATAGTCTTCTACAAGTGGCAGTACAAAATCATTCTTCTGCAGGGAATGTAAATGCTCCTAGGACAGATCAAAAGAATAAAAATTATCAGAGAAATTTTTCAAACTCACAGAGAAGATGTTACGGTTGCGGAACATTAGGTCATATATGTAGTAAATGCAGATAAGAATCACGAAAACGTGTAGAGGAGGTACGGGAAAATTCAGAATCCTCAGAAAATATTGAAACATCAGAAAATTTTGAACCTTTGATGACGATAGGGGAATTAGTTGAAAAAATGAACAGAGTCGAACCCGTAAAATAGGATGTAGGATCACAAACTAAGTGGTCAAGTACACATCGTGAAAATCAAAAAATTAAAAACGCGCAAAAAAACCGAGAAAATTAGGATAAAATACAGGAAAAATTTTGAGTTTAAAATGGTTAATAGAAACGGAAGTTCGAGAAAATTCGAAGAAAATGTTGAAAAACACAAGGAAAATTTTGAATCAAGAAAAATTCAAAGTAATGAAAATTCGACAAAAGTCGAGAAAAATTTTAGAAAACACGAGAAAAATTCTAAAACGAGAATATTTGGTAGAAAAGAAAATTCTACGATATTCGAGAAAAAAGTGGAATTAGAAAAAATTGAAAATAATAATTCGGAAAATTATAGGATAAATACGAAAATTTTTCAAAAGGTCGAGTCGAAAAATAATAGGAAAACTCCGAAAATTATACCAAGACAATCCTTAAAAAAGCCCAACCAAATTCAAATCCCAAAACCCCGGAAAATTCTTTCGAAACTGATGGAAATTTCCTTATACGACAAATTCGAAACTTTAGAAATGGACTTTATTATTGACGAGACTAACGATCCAAATCTTTTACCAATCGACAACACACGTAAGGCAAAATGGTATAAAAAAAGAATTAAAGAGGAAAATGAACGGACGCGTAACAAGTTCGGAAAATTGTCGAATGCAGGAAAATTCGCAAAAAAAGGAGAAACGATGCGAGTGCGAAAGTATCGCAAAATTTAGGATCGGAAAAAATTATGACGACTGGAAACAAATTTCGTAAACTCTAGATACAAAATGGAAATTTTTTAATGATCAATGCGTTGATTATTACATTTCACGGAAAAGAAAATGTAAAATAATTGAGGAAATCAAATAGACTTTGGATCGAGAAGAGCTGAAGGAACTGCTGGAAATTAGTTTTGCGGAAAATTCAAGGAAATTAGCGGAAAATAACGAAAAAAAATTACAGAATTTATTAATTTAGACACCGCCTGAATATAAACTAGCAACAAATCGCGCGCTAAAGTGCGCGGCTAACTTCTTAATACCTTTTTTTAAATAAAAATAGCAATTTTAAAAATAATAAAATTTGAAAATTTTCTAATCTAAGTTTTGTTGAAAAGACTAAAAAATTCAATTTTGTAAAATTTTAAAATAATTGCAAAAATTCTTATTAAAATTCAACTATGTTCAAATCTTGAATAAAATTCTCGTAAAAATTCCAATTATCTTTATAAATAACAAAATTCTTATTCAAAGTTCAATTATTCTCAAAAAATTTTCTAATTTTAATGATTTTCAATACCTACAATTTTTATAAAATATTTCCAAAAACAAATTCAATTATTTGGAAAAAAAATTTAATTTGAAATTTTAGAAAATGACAATTTTGAATAAATGAATTAAATAATAAAAATTTCAGAGGAATTCTATTATTTACAAATTTTTTATAAGTTTCTTCGCAATAATTCAATTATTTTCATGAAGAATAACATTTTTTTAACCAGGAATTCTGTTTAGGCTTTGTAAAAAATACAATGAAATTGACAATTAACAATAAACAATATTTATTTATAACTTTCAAATACACATATTTAGATGTCAATTGACTTGACAGGAGAGTTTTAAAATGAAATGTAGAAATGCGCGGTAAGACTCATGGATTGATGTGTTTGAAACCATAGCCAATGCTATTCTGTCGCTTTAGTACATGCATTCAAACGACAAACCCATTCCTATAAGATTTGGCAACTTCAATATTTTGAGTTTTTTCCCTTTTTGAAAAATGTGGCAACAGAGCCTTAGAAAAGTTTATTACTTAGGTAAAAACGGTTGTTACAGTAATAGAATTTCTTAGCGTTCAAATATCATTAAGAGGAAAACATATTTAATACAGATGTGCAAAAGGGTCTAAAAGAGGTATGTACCGATAATCAGATAACAGAATTTTCATCAACCAACTACTTTGAATTTAGTTTTTACTACAAGTTTTAACATTTCGTTTCTCATACTCTTTCCAAAAACATAGTTTCATAAATTGTTAGAATTAAAATAAAATTAATTGTTACTCCGTAACATGCCGACCCCTTTGAACGATATAAGTTCAAGAAAAATAATAATGTTCATTCACACTGCATATCAATTTTAATTACATTAAATATTAAATGACGTAAATTGATTACTTATTAAATGTTACAAAAAATATCTCCATTTTGTCAGTCAATTCATAATAACAACAATGTTAAAGTTGAACTTTTAATCGATTGGAATTGGATACAAGTTTTTCAATGCTCTTTTATACGTCCCCGTTGAACTCCGAATTGGAGTTGTGTGTCGACAATTCTTCCAAGAGACCACTTCATTGGTGGTAAATTGTCATCCTTTATAACGACCATTGTCCCCATAGTGATATCATCCTGATTGGTGGATGACTGCCATTTACTTCTGGAAATCATTTCGTTTAAATATTCGTGATGCCAACGATTCCAAAAGTGATGTCGCATTTGCTGTATAATTTGCCATGCGCTGAGACGACCAATTGGTAAACTGCGAAGATCTTCTTGTGGAATGCTTGTCATTGAACTACCAATCAGAAAATGAGCAGGAGATAATGGAGTAAAATCATTTGGATCAGAGAATAATGCGGTTAAAGGGCGAGAGTTTAGTATTGCATCAATCTCTACAACGTATGTATGCAATTGCTCATATGAAAGAAGTGACGCACCAGCTGTTCGTGTAAAATGTTTTTTAAATGATTTAACAGCTGCTTCCCAAAGCCCACCAAAATGTGGAGCCCTGGGAGGATTGAATGTCCAAGTAATACTTTTACTTGCAAGATAATTTTGCACTGTTTTATTTTTGATTGTGGAATCGATTTCTTCAAACAATTTCTTTAATTCGTTATCAGCTCCGACGAAATTAGTACCATTATCGGATTGAATTGTTTTTGACACTCCTCTTCGAGAGAAGAATCGTTTGAGACATGAAATGAATGCTTCGGTTGATAGATCATTTACTAATTCTAAATGTACAGCTTTTGTTGCAAAACAAACAAAGACCAATACATAAGTTTTAATTTTGGTTCGATTTCTGAGTCATAATTCTTTTGTGTAAAATGGACCACAAAAATCTACACCAACATTTAGAAACGGTCGAGAAAACGATACTCGATTTTTGGGCAAATTTCCCATTATGTAATTTGATTCTCGCGGTTTCGCTCGAAAACACTTTATGCATTTTCTTATGATGTGGCGCGTTGTATTTCTACCGTCTATCGGCCAATATGATTCTCGAACCCCATACAATGTAGCGCTAACCCCTGCATGCATTCTCTTTACATGTTCATTTTGAATAATAAGTTTTGTTACCGGGTGACTTTTCGGTAGCACAATGGGATGTTTTTGAGATTCCGGAATCATGGCATTACTCAATCTTCCCCCCACTTTAATGATGCCTTCACTTAAAAAAGGATTGAGGTGAATGAGAGAACTTTTTTTGGATAAGGGTTCATTTTTAGTTAAACTTTGTATTTCATTAGGAAATGTTTCTGCTTGTACCCATTTTACTATAGTCATAGAATTTTCGAGTTCGCGAGGGGTGAGGATTTCTTTTTCTCTATCTTCTGAATTTTTAAGTTTGCAAGAGGTAATAAATCGTTGACAATATCCAATGACGCGCTGTAATTTTTTCACATTACTGTACCGTTTTAACAAATCAGTAGAGAATTGCGCAATCATACCTAAAAACATCGGTTGAGCCGGCTTCAGATCAGGAATTTCAAGGATCTGAAACTCTAATTGTGGCCATGTTTTTTCGTCTTTAATTAACCAGTCAGGACCAGTAGCCCACATGGTATTGTTTAGAAAATTTTCTGAACCTTGACCGCGTGAAATAAAATCTGCGGGATTTTCCTTAGTAGGAACGTGTTTTCATTCTCTTGTGTTGGTTGAGGTTTGAATGTCTGTGATTCGATTCGCTACAAATGTTTTTCATTTATGAGGTGCAGTGTTAATCCAATTTAAAACAATGCTTGAATCGGTCCAGAGCAATCGTTTTTGAAGAGGCAATTGCATAGCCTTTTCAGTTGAAACTAATAATTTTATTAGTAAGACAGCTGAGCATAGTTCAAGTCTAGGTAAGGAAATTACTTTTAAAGGAGCAACTCATGATTTTGCACATATAAGTTTACTATAGTGACGCCCTTGTGAGTCAGTTGAACGAAGATACATACATGCACTATAAGCCTTCTCGCTTGCATCACAAAACCCGTGCAATTGCAATTCAACTGAATTTTCAATACCTACAAACCTAGGGAAATTAATCTTGTTAAGAGATGGTAATTGATTTGTGTATTCTTTCCAAAAGTGTACAATATCAGGTGGGACTTCTTCATCCCAGTCTAATTGCAATTTCCATAATTGCTGAATCAGAATTTTTCGAATGATAACGACTGGTCCCAGTAGACCTAAAGGATCAAATAATTTCGAACACTGAGATAAGATACTTCGTTTTGTATAAATCTCTTTCGAATCGTTTTGATGAACAGTATACTTTATTGAATCGGACTTTGGATCCCAAAACAACCCTAATGTTCTAATGGTATTGCTAAGATCCAATGACATTTAAATATCTGATGGATGATTTAAAAAAATTGAGCACAAGTCAGGATGATTAGAAGCCCATTTTCTAAGATTAAAACCTCCTTTTTCCAATAATTGAATTAAATCATTTCTGAGTTGCAATGCACCTTGAAAGGTTTGAGAGCCGGTCAGAAGATCATCGACATTGAAATCTCGTTTTAAAATTTTCGATGCGAGTGGAAAAGTATTTTCTTCATCATCAGCAAGTTGATGAAGAGTACAAATTGCAAGATAAGGTGCACATGAAGTTCCGAAAGTAACAGTGTTGATAATATAAATTTGTATAGGTTCTTCTGGTGAAAATCGCCACAATATTTTTTGAAATAATCTGTCATTTTCAGCTATTAATATCTGACGATACATTTGCTGAATCTAAAATATCTAAAATATCTAAAATATCTATGATTGCTGTCCCTAAAATGACTTGAGACGACCTTTTGTCTTCGAAATTAACAAGAGCAGTTGTTGTAGAAGAAGTTTCTTTAACTTCTTCAACCTTTTCTTTTTCTAAATGCAACAATGTATGATGTTTTTGTGACACTTATGACAACCTCCTTTCCTACATTCAATAGTTTTATGATTCGAAAAGAAACAATGGAAACAGATTAAAGATTTTTTGACTATTTTATATCGCTCTTTTGGGGATAAATTTTGAAATTGTTGACAACTATACAGCATGTGAGGTTTCTCGTAGATTTGGCATGAAAGTTTAAATTTCGATTTTTCGTTTTGAATTGTAGTGGTTAAACAAGTTGAACCTTTTGTTGAACCTTTCGCATGACCCTTTGAGTCATGTGCCTTAGACATCATTTGAGTACCCTCAATTAAAGCGCGTTGCTCTAAAAAATTAATCATTTTTTTAAGAGTTGGAAGCTGAGTACTGCCAACCGATTCTTCCCATTTCTCTCGATTGTAATTATTAAGTTTCATACGCAAAATATGAATCAGGGGAGTGTCCCATTGTTCGACGGGTTGTTCGAGAGCTCGTAATGCTCGATAGCGTTTTTGAAAATTATCTAATAATACCCGAATCGATACTTCTTTTGATACACTGGGTAGATCAAATAAAGCATTACATGGCTTTCAACTATAAATTTTCGATTGTCGAAACGTTCTTTTAAAAGAGTCCACGCCACTTCATAATTATTAGCAGTGGATTCGAGCGAAGAAATAACTTTGGCCGCTTCTCCGGTCAAGCAAGCTTTGAGATAATGAAACTTTTGGATAAGTGGTATAGATTGATTATCGTGACACATGGATTTGAAGAAATCATGGAAGGTAAGCCAGGTGTCGAAACTCCCTTGAAAGGTAGGAGTTTGGATTTTAGGAAGCTCGAAACGTGCGTGCGCTTGAAAATGATTTTGATTCATGTTGAAAGATTGTGTATCGCCTTCTCGAGCAGTTCTTGAGTCAATATGGTCGCCAACCGAAATGTGATTAGGTGAATTAGAACCAATATTCGCGTGACTAATTTCCGAACTACTTTCTGAACTACCAGATTTTTTAATGTGTCTTTGTAATAACCCACTAATTCTATGGAATCTGTTTTCAAATTCTGTTCTTTCTGTAAATTGTGCGTCCATTTCGTCTTCGTCAGTCAACTCGTCGATTTTAGTTTGAATATTTTCAAATCTATCCCACAATGCTAAATGATTTTTTAAACGAACTTGTAAATTATTAGTCTCAAGATCCGTTTCTGAGTGAATTTCTGCAAGAATATTTTCCGAAGCCGTAAGGGCTCTTTTAACATTACCTCTAAGTCAAATCATACCTAACAAATCAAAGTTGTCCCTCAGTTTTCCGATTTTTGTGAAACTTAAAGAAATTGTAAAGGAATACATGCAAATAAAAATTCTAAAAAAGATTTTTGAAAATTTTAAAAATTTGGTTGTTCAGGGTTTTCAAATTTTTTTTTTTGAAATTTTGAAAACGCAATATCTCAAAGACATATGGATGGATTTTAATGATTTTTTCAGGGATTACTTATTATTTAGAAACAATTAAAATGAAAAAAATTGCAAACAATTTTTTTTTGTTTCAAATGAAAAATTTAAAAAATATTGTTTAAACAAATTTTTTGTTTATAAGCGTATCTTTAATTTTTTTCTAATAGCGATATTTTGATTCCTTAGGATTTCACGAGTATTTTGACATAAAGAAATCGATGGAGACTCTTAAACTTTCGGAAATATTGTATTTTTTGTCTTTGCGCGCAGGGCCAAAAAGCGCACTGAAGCAAAGGCTCTGTGTACAAGGTAACGGTCAAAATTACCTAATACTCGCGTAAATTTCAAACGAATTGAATTCTTTCTTTTTTAAATCAATTAATAAAATTGTATCAATAAATAAATAATAAATGAATAATATTTAAATAATAAATAATTAAATAAAAAATATAACTCGTAAATTTCAATCGAATTGAATTCTTTCTTTTTTAAATCAATTTGTAATATTTTATGAATAAATAAATAATAAGTTATTAATAAATAAACAAATAATTTGTCTGCGTAAAATAAAATAAACAAGTTAATGTAAATTAAAAAACAGTTCCTAGTAGATTATTTGACTACTTTTTAACTACTCTGATTTGTTCAACAAGTCCTACATTAAATTAAAAAACCTGTTTTAATCATCAAAAAGTAGTTAAAATAAATCAGATAAATAGAAAAATAAAAAAGTAATATATAATGGAAAGGTAACATTTTATTCGTTTACGTAAAACGAAGACCTAGTTCGCGAATCGAGTAATTCTTTATATGAAGAGCGCGCATGCGTAGACTCGACTCGGATAACTTCGTTCATTCTCGTAACGCGACTGCGCGTCTGGAAGAGTGGATTTGTCAAAGAGGGGGTTCTAAGAGTCTCATTTCTAATTCAGCATTTGTTCGAGCACCCTCAATGTTTGTAGCAAGTAATAATTGTAGAACTAGGTCTTTTTAATAGTCTTTTTCATAGTTCCAGGTTTTATTGCATGTTTTTCAGTGTCATTTTTGTGGTTCAAGGTTTGTTTGTTTGTTTTGAGTTTTCTGTTTTTTTTAGGTTTAAGTAAATGTAAATAAGTGTCTTTGCGTTTCTTTTCAATTTTTTTCTTAGGTTTAAATTTATAATTTGTTTTTAACTACGAAAGAGACTATTAAAAACACCTAGTTCTACAATTATCACTTGTTACAAACATAGAGGGAGCTCGAACGAATGCTGATTTAAAAATGAGACTCTTAGAAACCCATCTTTGACAAATCTACTCTTCCGGACGCGCAATTGCGTCACGAGACTGAACGAAGTTATCCGAGTCGAGTCTACGCATGCGCGCTCTTCATATAAAGAATTACTCGATTCGCGAACTAGGTCTTCGCTTTACGTAAACGAATAAAATGTTACTTTTCCATTATATATTACTTTTTTATTTTTCTATTTATCTGATTTATTTTAACTACTTTTTGATGATTAAAACAGGTTTTTTAATTTAATGTAGGACTTGTTGAACAAATCAGAGTAGTTAAAAAGTAGTCAAATAATCTACTAGGAACTGTTTTTTAATTTACATTAACTTGTTTATTTTATTTTACGCAGACAAATTATTTGTTTATTTATTAATAACTTATTATTTATTTATTCATAAAATATTACAAATTGATTTAAAAAAGAAAGAATTCAATTCGATTGAAATTTACGAGTTATATTTTTTATTTAATTATTTATTATTTAAATATTATTCATTTATTATTTATTTATTAATAAAATTTTATTAATTGATTTAAAAAAGAAAGAATTCAATTCGTTTGAAATTTACGCGAGTATTAGGTAATTTTGACCGTTACCTTGTACACAGAGCCTTTGCTTCAGTGCGCTTTTTGGCCCTGCGCGCAAAGACAAAAAATACAATATTTCCGAAAGTTTAAGAGTCTCCATCGATTTCTTTATGTCAAAATACTCGTGAAATCCTAAGGAATCAAAATATCGCTATTAGAAAAAAATTAAAGATACGCTTATAAACAAAAAATTTGTTTAAACAATATTTTTTAAATTTTTCATTTGAAACAAAAAAAAATTGTTTGCAATTTTTTTCATTTTAATTGTTTCTAAATAATAAGTAATCCCTGAAAAAATCATTAAAATCCATCCATATGTCTTTGAGATATTGCGTTTTCAAAATTTCAAAAAAAAAAATTTGAAAACCCTGAACAACCAAATTTTTAAAATTTTCAAAAATC